TCCTCGCTTCAGGAGAAGCTTGTAGAGATGGAGGGGTACACGTGCAAGTTGGTGGCAGTCCAAGGCGAGGTTAAAGATTTGTTGGACCAAGAAAACGACAACGCGTTCGAGCTGCTCTCCATGTTGGTTAACGACACGTCTGAGGAGAGGACGTATGTGCCCACATTTCTGTGCTATTAGCCGAATGCTGCAAGATGCTGCAGGAGAAGTAAGCGTCGCCCGAATCTCAGTTAACGTTGCTCTCATTTAACGTTGTTAGTAGTTAACGTCGCTAATATATAACTTCGGCTACAGAACAACATTGAATATTGTACCTCCGCGCTGACGAGCAATAAGAGCATACAAGTTGTTACTGCAGCATTACTGCAGCATTGATCGCCGATTCCGACGTTGCTATGGCCGAGAAAAACAGACCAAAATGTCCCCATGGGCGTTCCAAGACGCATCAGCAAAGATCAGCGTCGGCGAACTTGGCGGATGTAACCACAGTGTCCAGTACGCTCACAAAGTCCGGCTCAAGATGCCAGCATCAAAAATTTCAAGCTCGACCGTCTAGCATTTCTGTCAATGTTATTGACCTAACACGTGAAGACATAATTGATTTAACAAGCGAAATGGAAGAGGATTAGGACGCCAGTCGTAAGGTGATACAAAGTTGAAGTTGAAGTGATACTAAAATTTTGTAACAACGAATATATTTCACCTAGTTCCAAATCTTCTTACTTCCTTTTCCAAAAGCGGCGGTAATCTGCTTGCCGATCCGTTTAGCTTCAGTTTGAAGTGATTCTTCAATAGGTTCGACGTGTGATCCGCATAATATTACCCACAGGAACCTTAGCCGCATTACTTTCACAACGTCTCGCGTTATAGCATCGACCGTGAATCCACAACCACCGTAGATAAACGAGTATGCCATCGCTGCGCCCATTACACGGCGGCTATATCCATCGGGTTGCATGGGCGACATTAACCATTCAATGTCCACGTCTGCTAGGAAGGGGTGCTCCTCTTTCCGCGCCACCTGGCTTTCCCACTGCGAGTGCCATGCACGAAGATATGGTAGTAGTTTAGCCGTCCATATTTTCTCCATTCGTTTTCTGTACCCTGTGGTACAAAGCGGATCGTACATGTGCACTGTGATCGTGCCGTGTCGATGTACAGCTACCACAATCAGCGTCCAGTGAGAACTCACGATGTTAATGAGGAGTATGACAAATCTCATTGAAAAAAGCTTGGCTCGCGGGGGAGACAGGAACGTCCGTTGGTCGGCCACAAACGACGAAAGTACGTGCACACCCACGTGGCTGGTGGTTATGATATCCAGAGCGTAGTTTAGCACAGCATCGTTTAGCCACGCACGGTCTGCCACATATCCTACCACTTCCTGGAAGAAGATTCCCTTCGTAGGGTCTTTGTGGTAGAATTTTGTGTGGCAACACGTCGACGAAAACATTGCACTGACCTCAGAGGATAGGTGCGTTAGTCTTTGCTTTGCCTCAGGTGCTGCCTTGCCGTCTGAGTCAGTCCGAGCAGCGAAAAACTCAATGGGCCTCCCAGTGACCTTCATCCAATCCTGGGTAATCCAATTTAGGTCTCTTTCCCACCAATCGCAACTTCTTGTGATTTCGTAGAACGTCGTCATCGTGTGTACGCATTCACTGCATCAAACCATAAGGCATTAAGTTAGTAAGGCTTCGGTAACGTTGCTGAAGCAACTATATAACGTCACTACAGCAACGATATTGCAATCCAGCAACGTCAAAGTTGCGACGTTACCTTGAAAATGGTTCCAGATGTGGTGTAACCCAGACGGCTAAGGTCTTGCCATCCGACGAGCTGAGTGTCGATGTAAGATCAACCACCTCCGGCGCCTTCTGTATATCTTTACACTCGTCCTTTTTAGAAGCCCTGAAGTCATTGATTGCAGCTTGCAATGAGACGGCCAGGTCCTTGGGTGTCACGTAGACAGTACGATGAGGCAGTCTGTTGGGTCCACGGCGGGCTCGTCCACGCAAAGTTTGTTCATTCATGATACACAGAAATCTTTCCAGACTATCAGCAGCAGTTTTAAGGCTCGGTGTATATAGCGCCCACTTCACGACCTCGGCCACTGTCGCTGTCAGACCCCTCGGATACTCGACTATCACATAGCGTGGTTTAGCAGCAACCGCGGACAACTTCTGCCGTAGCTTCTTTCGAGGTTTCCCTTGGTGGGGACGGGGAAGATTGAGCTCAACTTATCTCTTTGAATGTCAGCTACTAGCTCTGTAACAGGCACATGCTTATTGGAG